TTCCATTTTAATTTTTAATTGCTAATTTCCTTAGCAGTAGTGGTACCATGCGACTGTGGGCTAAAAACTGATGCTACTCTTCAAAGTGAATGAAGGAAGCAGGATTTACTATTACTAAATCCTAGGGAAGAGTGAAGTCCACATCAAAATCCCCGGGGACTTCAGTAGAACAATGTTCTGGTCTTTTGTGAACGTAAGTACAGTTTCCTTATTTCATTCTCCATTTCACTAGTTTTTGCACATGTACTTGAAATGCTGACTGGGCTGAGAGGACGTTGGTTAGAGGGTGTATGGAGAAATCATGTGTATACATGCAGAAAAAGATTTTGAAATAGGCAAATTATATCTTTGAAGCTTGAGAAGCAGATAATTAGAAGCTACTGTCCTTTAACCAGAACATTCGCTGAAGTCAGTTTACACACATTATTGTGCTTTACATTTTTTCATTTCATTTTTCTGTGATCTGTTTTATGCTTTCCTCTTTTACATCAAATACACAGCAGCTCTACTCCTTTTGCTACTAACTGTTCAGTAGCTATCATGACAGCAGAACTACATCTTCGTTCTCATTTAATAACTATTTATCATTCTGTACCTGCCCATTTTCAAGAAGGAATAAAGTTAAGTGTTCCAGAAATTGGAAAAAATTGAAACTTGACCTTTATTAAGTGGGTTAATTGTCACAATCTTAGCATGTATGAAATTAATGACCAAAAAGTGGAACTTCAGAGTTTCAAAAGACTAGGTTAATGTCCAAAAAAGTCTAAACTTCGACCTTTTTGACATATGCCAAAAGAAACAGCCACCCTAATAAATTACTACCTATGTGCAATTATAATAAACCATTCTTAGCATCCAAGCACTTGAATTAATTGCTGCAAGTCACTGTGGCTTCCTTGGAAGTATTATTCTTGAGAATCCTTTGCACTGTATATGTCAAGTTGTGTGTGTATTTGTTTCAGTTTTAAAGCGTGTTATTTATACCTTTGGACTCCACAAGTACATGCATCATTTATTAGCAATGAAATGAGGAATCCTGGGTGAATAGCCAGCAGCACTAACATGGTGACTGACAGGGAATAATGCTGGGGAAAGTGAGTTTGACCTAATGATAAACAGGCACTGATCACTGAACTTCATACACCTGGATATCTACAAGACAAACAGGAGAGTGGAGAGACCCTTTCTTTATGCAAAGAAGGCCAACAAATAGCTGAACGGCAGTTTTTATAAAAAATGATGTTTATAAAAACAAAAAAACCAGTGCATTTGAACTGGAGGACGCAGCAGAGATGCAATGCTCTGTTACCTTCTAGGTTAACATTTCAATATAGATTGGTCTGGGTTGGTTAGTGATATGGCATCCTCTCTCAGATTTTAAAAATCTTTCTGTAAAGCCACAGAAGCATGTCAATAAACTACTGAAATGTTTAGTTTATAAACAAAAGCAGATTAATCGAATAGAATAACAAGGCATAAGAAGGGAGGTATATTGCTACATTTTACCATGTTTTAATGACCAAGTTGTTCTTGTTCTGCACCAGGACAAACACAGGATTTTGCAAAGATTTATTGGGAAATCCAGGGATGAGAATAGTCAATAGTGCAGTGATTCACCTAGAACTTGGAAAACTTGAGATCCAAGTCTCTAGCATGCCTCATTAAAGTGGTTCTGCTTTATATAAATATTAATTAGAACAAAGACAAACATTTATGTCCCACATCTCAGGTGAATATCTGACCTATCCATCACTCTGGTTCTGAGAGAGATTTAATTCTGGATCTGGAAACTGTCCTGACAAAAAATTCACCAAACCTGATACATATCTGTGAAAAGTTATTTCTGCATAATTGACATGTTTTGATGAAAAGCAGTATGCTTTTAGGAAGTTGCCAGCCACCTAATTTGAACATATCTGTAAAGGAACATTTTAGTGCACAACACTTCCATGACTTTATAATCAGTGTACGCAAGTGAAAAAATAGGGTTATTGTACTCTCCATACCAGCTACAAAGTTGTTATGAGCATCATCTCACCCAAGTTTCTTCTTAGTCATGTTCAAAAGAAAAAACCCTAAACAAGCAAACAGACACCCCCCCCCCCCCCCCCCCCAAACACAAAAAAAAAACAACCACACTTTTTTTGTATTAAGAGCAGAGTACTGAGTTTAGGAAGGAACTCCATTCATTAATCATTGGAAAGCCTCATAACTTATTTAAAATATCAATTAATACTTCTGTTTTCACAGCATTAAATGGAAAGGCTATTTTAAACATGACTAACTGAATCCAGATTAGTGATCAGTCCAATTAAAAAGTTTACTAGAATCTAGCAACTTGAAGTGATCGCTAAGGACAGTCAAGCTACCCCCAGCTTTTACATCAAACTAACATTCAAACGGTCACTCATTTTTCTTTCCCTTAAGTGTCTTTGTTTATAGTCCTTAATCCATGATCAACATCAGCACCTTCCAAAAAGTTCTATTCGGCCCCATTCATGGGGTTTTACTGGCTTAATTGGCCATTGTACAACCACTAGACACAAATTGGACATCCTTTGGTTTGTGATGGTTCAAGTCCTGATGTCACACACGCACCGACCCATTTCCAAGACAGTGCAGATAATCATTTTGTATAAACTTAGTTTCCTCTGTGTATGGTCATACCGTCATGTGATTTAACAATGATTTAATTTGTAAATACAGTCTGATTTCTAGATATTACAAAAATAAAAACAAGTTGGTAACATTGAATAATATGCAACACAAAGGCCATTCTAATGCCTCTATTGCTGAGAAACAAGCCCAGCCCCTGTGCCACATTTGCTTCCACTGCATATGCACCCAAGCCCAGCAAATCATCAGCATAAATTGCTTATGTGGTTCCAAGTGTGTGCTCCATCTCCATTCTGAGGTTCTGTCTGAACACAAATGTTTCTGATAGCAAGTAGGCACGTCTGACTTTGTCTTCAAATAGTTGTATCACTGTAAAAGCCAATTTAAAAGCAATGCTTGATTTTGCTGTGCCTTTTTCAGTTTCATAGCTGTCACAAGTTCATCTCTATTTTAAGGGAGCCCCACAGAAGATTCTAGCTGTAAGGGGGGAAAAAAAATGAGTCTTTATTGCTTTTTTATCCCACAATAAAGTTTTTCTGAGTTTCATTGCTCATCTTGATGCATGAAAATCTTGAACATGGCCTCCAAGGTGCATGAATAATCAATCGCAAGGAGGAGATGGCAGCAGCAGACTGTGGAAACACCTATGAATCTATACTCTCTCAGTGTTATAATGGTGAAAGCAAACTGTTCATAGAATAGCACATGTAATATAGCATATTAGAAATCTTGCACATTATAAAATCAATCACTAAAGCCCTCTCTAGACATATTTGAAATCTCCATTCAGGTAACACCAGCTAAATCTACCAAGGAACCGGGGCAGGGTTTGAAATGTTACTATTTCAGAAGTATTTTGTTGAACCTCTTTTTATTTTTAACATTTTTATTTGGCACAGGTAATCTATGAGAAAAAATGGGATGACTGGATACCGGTTGGGTGAACTTCCCATTTCTCTCCAGAAAAAAAGCAGTTTATACTGTAATAAAATGTAATGCATCAGACTGAACCAAATCATTTACATTTTGGATTACAATTGAGAGGTTTAGGAAATGCTAATTGTTTCAGAATTCTGCCACCTCCCAGGCAGGTGTGCAACTAGCAGAAGCAGAAGAATGTTCCTTTTAATACACAAATTAGAAGATCTAAAGTACCATGTGTAACAAACTTACTAATGTGTCTTAACACACTTCACAGTGCAACATGCAGTGTCCGTTTGAAGTTCTTTCTATTGTCTGGTTGAGGGCCAATTTTAAAATGTCTAGAGAAAAATATCTAATTTTAGGCCAGTTCCTAAAAGTAAACTTGCATTCTTAGGAGTATGGGTACACAAGTTGTCACAAGGTAAGCTGAAGTGCCTCAGTTGCTCCACAGTAACTGCCCCTGTGCATGCTTTCACTCTGTGCTATGTCAGGTAGTTTGACCTCAATGAAAGTGGAGAGAGTTACCTCACCATTTCCCACTTGGAAAGAACATGCATGCAGGAGAAGCTGATGGGCTATAAATTCACACCTCATGGTAACTTGAACAAGTGCCTTTACCATACGCTGACCCAAGGAGTCCCAAACTGTGTTATGCATGTGTGGCATGCGTACTTGATGTTCTATCCATTCATTTTGCAATCATGTTTAAAAAGGTGGTATGAGAACCAACAAAATTCAGAAGCTGCTGCTCTACCTTATAATTTTAGCTCTTAAAGTCTCATCAGTTCTGCTATAAGGACATGGTTATGCTGTACAAAGCCAAAAAGCACAGGTTGTTAGGGAAACGACCCATCGGTAACTAGGTTACATGCAGAATTCAAACATTGTTTATTATTTTATTTTATTTTGTTTTTGGAGAACAGTCCGAGAAATCTTACTGCTTCTTACTAACTAAATAGAAGCAACATTTGGCATTTAGCCTGGGAATAGTGTGAACAGCCTCTTACCCAAACATTAAGAAGAAAGTTAACTTTAAAATGCTTTGATAGGTCTGTTTTCATGACAGATGGCAATGAGGGCTTGTCAGTGCCAATTTTATCATTCCCCTTTCCCCTATTTTCAAAGGCTTAAGGAAGTTTTCAATTAGTGTTTCTAAAGGAATCAATTATGTTTGCTGAGTAGGAATGTAAACTGCAAGATTAGACTACTCTGCACTTTTATTGTACTCAGCATGGCTTTTTCCTTCTCTAGGTAACACCAATATGCACCAGAAATAGGAGTTTGAAATCATACAGTAGATCAGTGCTTTCTTCTGCTTATTATGATTACTTGCGTTTATGTTGTGCCCTCCATTTAGTACTGTACTGAGCACCAGCTTTAGTTCTTTCTCCTCCTTTAACACAAACACCATGTCAATGCCAAATGCTGGCTTTTGTTTGTATAATACACTTACCACTAAAGACACTGTAGAACTAAGTTTATTCAAGAAAACCCACACGATCTATCCTGTGGTTACCAGAGTTTGCTAAGCCATAGATAACAGCAAACATTGAAACAGAATACAGTGTATCAAACCAAATCATTTAAATTTTGGATTACAGTTATAATGCTCAGGTAACACAAGTTGTTGTTGGGTGTTATCATCTCACCTTCTTTGATATATGTGCAATGCAACTGGCAGAAGCAGAAGTGGATGAATATTGTTTCTAATAAAAAAAACCTGAAGAGTGGTGACTTACATGACATTTAAACTGTCAGGATGAAAATACATACTATTCTACCTACAGGCAGCATATAGTTACAAAAATATTGGTCCAGCCTCTAGTTAATGGGAAAACAATATCCCATGTGTAATGGCCAAACACCATTCTCAGTGAAATATTTAGAAAAAGCTATTTAACTTTTTTTTAATCGTAGTTGAACACCGAAGTTGCTATGGCAATATGGAAGTCACTACTTGTCATGTGTATTGCACCAAAGATTTATGCAAAAGCACATTTTTCCAAGTTGTAATTGTAAAAGAAGCAAAAATCTAATAAATAAGACAATAAATATGTCCACTGGCATTTTACTGCCACCAGTCCTAGATGAGTAAGTTGCTATTTTTAAGTTTAAACAGTTATCCATACTTTGCCCAGTCTTTCCATTCCTTAGAACTTTTAAAAGATAGTTTTGTTAGGTGGGAAAGTTCTTAAAAATTGAGCAAAAGAATTAAGCTGCATATTAAAATAGGCCATTTCAAAGCCAAGCCTTGAAACTACGGTCATTTTGGTATTGTACTATAATGCTGGAATAATTTTTACACAGAATTTACTATATGGAGGAGAGGGACAACCAACACTGCTGGATAACAGACTTAATTGGCACTGTATTGGTAAGCCAAGATGTGTGCCTCAGATTGCTACACAGTATAAGTGGGAACACATGCAGCAAACTTGGTTTTGGTCTGCCCCAAACCAAAAAAAAAAAACAGTATTGCTCACTCTTCTTCCTTTAGGAAAACAGTAGCAAATATATTTCAATGAAAAGATAAAGTTCAAAATAAGGTAAGCTAACTGTTGTCACATTCAGCGTTATATCCAACTACATAAAATGAAAGAATAGCAGACAGGAATATTAAATCATATTTTACTTTTAATAATGGTTCAGTCAAAAAATTAGCTTTGAAAATCTCCAGCTAACTGTGAAAACCTGAAGAAGCTGAGACCTGACCCTACTGAACAACACAGATTAAAGCTGTGGCTTGGCCTATCTGCTTTCAACTTCTCCATTTCCACCTCCGTTGTAAATAAAAAAGTATCGCTTTAAAAGAAAAAAAAAAGTCAGCCTTTAAAATTAGGTGGATGTTGTACTGTAGTAGCCTAACTTTGATTTAAGGAAGAAAGATGAAATGTTCTTAATATAGTAAAAACAAAACATAAAAAAGGAAACGGAAATCCTCAGAAATCACTGTAAGTGTGTTTTTAGGATTCTCATCAACATTTAAAACTATTGAAAATAAGGTTGCCACCTTACCTTTTTTTGGACTGGTGCACCTGATTTTAAACAGGTTTTCTTCCAGTCTCCCAAGTTTCTGATCCTCTTATCCAGTTTTCTGCTGTACTGCTCTCCCACCTTCATGCTGAATACCGAGTCAGTCCTGCCTTCTGCTTTTCTTGGCAGGAGGCAGAGCAAGCTTTTAATTTCGGTAGTCAGAGTGACAGAACAACAAAAGCACAGCAGATAGAAGAGCTTAATTCTTCCCCAGGAAGAAAATACATTTGTTCCACAAAGGGCTGCAAAATCTTCCAAAGGCACCTCTTTCCCCAGGTTTTGCCTGAAAGCAAGATGGCAATCTTAATTGAAAAAGGATGCTAAATTTTTTAAATAACTTAAAAAAAAATCATTTTTTCTTATATAAAGCAGCAAAAACATTTTTCCTCTGCAGAAAGAGAAATGTTAACAAAGAAACACACCAATGTAAATGCACTGTTCATAAACTTCGGCTAATTTTAATTTCACAATAAAGTCAAACTTTATATTCTCTCTATTCTTTAACCTCATCAGTGCTGTCTGAAGAAGATTCTTTGGCATCTTCAGTCTCTCTGTTACTTTCTTCTTGATTTAGATTTTCATTTTCTGATTTGGTCCCATTAAGTAGAGAGTTTTCACCATTTACAAACCCATTCTCTGTGACTTCTGCATCAATGGCTTCACCAATCTTTAAGTTCCCTTGCTCCTCTGCTTCTTCCTCTAGGTTTCTCAAGACAATTGGGAGTCTAGAGTCAGCCACAGTGTTCTCTAGCAAGGCTATATTGCTCTCTTCATATTTTGGAAGGGGGTTTCCATCTGCCATTTGTTTGTTATAGTACTCTCTGTTGGCAGCTGCGCTCTTTACTGCTTTCTCCAAAATCTCTTTTTCACCCAAGCGCAATTTGATAGCCATTGTCGCATGAGGAGTAAGGTCATGGGTCTCCAGGAAGGACTTGTCATCCTTGAGAAAAGAAAAAAAACCACGTGTTACCAAAATAAACAATACAACTTATGGGTCTTTGGCCCTTAAAACATGTTACCAGTTAATCACATCTAAAGTTGTTACTCAGCCACATGTTAATGAAATTAGTGGTGTGATAAAACAAGAAATAAGCAACAAAAATTGCACAAAAAATGTGTAACGGTTTTGCGGCTGGTTTTGAACAAGCTATTAACTACATGAGAGACCAGGCTGGGGCTCCCAACTGCAGCTGGAAGCCCCATCAGCTGATGGGGCTTCCAGCCATGGGAGCGCACCAGGAGATTCTAAGCTACCTCTGCACCAGTAATAAGGTGCAATGGGATCTGATGCTGGATCCCACAGTCAGGCCTCCTGCCATGCACAAGTGGCATGGCAAGAAGAGAGACTGTGGGGATCCCACATCAGATCTCATCATGTCTTCACTTGCATGTCTGCCAGGAGCCTTTACTTGCATAAGACAAGGCCTTCAATCTTGCAGGCTTATCTACAGGGGCAGGTTTCGTGCTTCTGTGTAGCCCCAATTAAGTCCATTAAAGAGAAGAGGTACTTTGCACTGATAAGCCTGCAGAATCATAGCATGTCAGTAGTTTTAAGGATGATGAACAAATGTGAATAAGAAATGGTATGTTTTCTTTACAGGTTAGACCAGGAAACAGGGAAACTCACAGACATGAAGTTGAAACTGATCATATATAGGACAGAAAAAACAAAGCTTTTTAGTTCTTTGCAGTGGTGCAACTAGGATGGGACAACAGGATCAGGCACCCCAAGTACTGATGGGAGTGGGCAGGGGAAATGCCCCTCCCTCCCCCTGACTTTTCCTGCAATCACGGTGGCAGAGGCAACTGGAAGTCATTGCTGCCCAGGCAGCCCAGCCACATTCTTATGCTGCTGATTCTTTGGCTAAGGCGGGGAAGGTTTATATGTAAAAGCACAGGTAATATAAACAGTTATAACAACTTGAAGATGAAGAGATGCTGTTCAGGGAGAAAGGGACTGTGTTTTGCTCGGATTACTATGCAACAAACTTGAGATGACATAAAATGGCAATTTTTTTTTGCTGCTTTTACCTCCACAGTGGTTTTGTAGGTTTTCAAAAGAAGGGATGCTCTAGCTTCAAGGAATGTCCAAAGTTTAACCTCGTTGTCCCAGCTAACTGGAAATTCAGAGTTGCCCAGAGTGAAGATTTTGTCAATTGCATGTTCTCCTATCAAGTGCTCTTTCAGCTCTTCTGCAGTAAATATAAAAAAAACAAGCTGTTAAAAAATAATCTCATCATTTACTTCAGCAGTTTAAAAATCACATAAAGTTTATTTACAAAAATATGATCTGATATTATTAAGAAAAAAATCTCTTTCCTTAATAGAAGTGATCTAATGATGTGCCTATTTTTGGTACTATTCTCAAAGTGGCATCTGGAAGTCTGGAGGTTAACAACAAAATGAACCTTCAACTTTATTCTGACATAAGGTACTGAATATTTTGGCCAAACGTACATATCGTAATTCTTACTTCACAGATGACCACAGATGTATTGTCCTACATAATAATTTATGATAACAAAATAGAGAATTTCATGAAAGAGTTGTGTGTATTTGTAGACAATAGAAGAAATATTTGCTGGGAGAGAATGTATAAATACTAGTACAGTTATTTTTCTTATTGTCAAAGGGAATGTCTTTTAGTCAAACAAACTGACAGCTATTGGTCAAACAGTGCTTCCAATATGTTAGAAGGCATCATGTGGCTTATGATAGATAGCACTGCACACATTCTTTAAATCTTATTCCTTTTAATTATCAAAATTCTCTCCTGAAGAAAAGTTTATCACAAACTTCAAGTAAACATCTGACAGAAGTTGTTAAGAAAATGCTAACACAACAGAATTGAGTGACATGTATTTCAATTCCATTCGCTGATGAAAGGGTCACTGGGAACAGGACTTCATTAGTGAATCAACCACTTGCATGTAATACCATTCCTCAGCAAAAAGCTCAACTACAGACAATTACCAGTTTTCATACTGGGAGTTTGGGATGCATCAATGCATTTTATAGCAATAAACATACCATAAGTACGTTTCCTCCAAGAAAATGCATGCCCATCTGGGACTCAGAAAAAACAGCCAGCTTGTTACATAATTATGACATCCTCCCTTCAAAAGGGAATCAAAGCTTGGGACCAGAACAAACACAAATACCCAGTTATCCTGGTACATAAAGCCAAACATATCAAAACAAGTTGAAGTCCAAAGCATATCAGGCAACACTTATCCTGGGTTCCTGAACTACCTGAAAAACTCCATCATAGATATATGCCATGAGAACAACTGTGGCATGGATTTGTATCTACAGTTAAGAACTCTAGGTTAAAACAGACAGACTGTTTAACTCTACAAAGACTAGCAGTTTGATAAATCAAATTTTGCAATCTACTCTCAAACTTCTCCAAAAGTAATAAATCCATTATATGAATATATGACAAATGAACTCCAGGCTCTACCTAACTGTGAAGATGGTAAATATTTGCTTGGTGAGAAATAAGTAATTCAACAATGCTGTACCTTATATTATGGAAAACAGGACAAAGCTAAATTCTACAACTACTATTGACTTTCACAGGAGAGGCTCTTGTCTTGAAGGTAGGAATGGCACAAAGTGAACTGATGGAGATGTTGACAAATGCTACAGAAGTCCTTTAAAACATCCTCACCTTAATAATACAAAGGTTTCTTTTATAAAGTTCTATAAAATCAAGTCATTATAAAAGAATACATATTTGAAAGGTGGACACTTACAGTGCATTTCACAAACTAAGCTTATCATAGATTATGAACTACAAAAAATGCGGTTTTAAATGTTCAAGCTGCTCTACTCTAAGATATCTCTTTTGGATTTTTCTGTTACATGTTTTGGAATTTTCTAGTCCCATGACCACATCTGGTGGTAAAAGCTGAAATACTGCCATATTAAGTGTGAGCAAGTTTCCAAGTCTTGGTGTGACATTTTTAAACCTTAAGAAAAAATGATAAGACCACAGAGCAAGTTAATTTTTTGCAATCATGGGGAGATTAAAAAAAGTGGTGGTGATGTGCATATATAGCATCATTCAAAGTGAAGGATTTTATATCATCTGAAGCTTTGTACAGAAGGTCACAACAATTTCTAGAAGCATCAGTACAGTCCCTATGCCAAATGACACAATTTGGAATGATACAATTTTATGTATTTAAAGGCACTGCAGTCTTAAAAGTTCCATTTGTCTAAAGTCTAAACTTTTGTTTCATGAGATGCCAGGAGGTCCAGGCTCTTTGATGTATTCTCACACACAAAGAGATCCATTCTCAATCATTCACTTTAAAAAACTTATTTTCAGTTTGTTTCATATGTCTGTCATCTTTCCATTTAAAACGCATATATATCATACATTTTTGTAAATTATTTACCTTCACTCATACAAAACACTCGAAGGAAAGCCAAAAGCTGGGCAGAAATTGGAGGCTCAGTAGCGTGCAAGGCAAAAACGCTTGAACTAAAAAAGACCAAACTCATGTTAGACTGTGGTAACTTCATTATTCTAACATGAAAATACAATGTATAATAAATTCAGTGTTCCTCAGGAACATGTTAAAAAAAACAAGGTCAAACCAATTTTTAAGGTTAAACTGAAGAACAACTTCTTTGACCGGTCTTAGAGATGAACAATTATTTTTTTTAAACTGCTTGTTCTTTGGGGAAAACTCAGAATTACTTTTTGTATGGTTTTCATAATAAATTCATGAAGAAGTAACATTTCACAAATCTTCCCCATCATACTGCAGCCTGAACTGAAAGGACTTTCTTCTGAAGACATATTTGTTACTTATACAGATCACAAACTGTACTTTGCAATGTATGTGCAAGGGATAGGAAAGAAAGAAAAAAAAACACAAATAGGTTCAAATTAAACTGTTGGCTGATTCTGTTCAAGTATGTATTAAAACCAAAGATGTTCCCTTTCTGTTTACTCCAGATTACACAATGCTAGAGCTGATAAAAAAATCATTAAAACTTCATTATGACATTAATTTTCTATATAAACTGAAGGCCTAAGCAAACTATTACAAAACATATTTAATAATGCTTAACTGGACTTCATACACTTTGAAATATTCAAATATCAAACCCAGCTCATTTTGTTTTACTTACGTTGGGATGCCGGCACGAGCTAAAACCTCAGCCTTCATAGCATACAGCCTGTCACTTTTACTCACTCCAAGCTTTATTTTCACTCTGTCATGTGAATTATTATCAAAGAAAAAACCACTGTGGATCACAAACTCTGCATTTGACCGAGTGCCATAAAAAATGTAAATCTAGAAGGATGAAAAGAGAAGTGAAGAGAGAAAAAAGCTAAAGATAAACTCAAAGAACTGATATAAATTGAAAGTTATTTCCTGGAAAAGTTATTTTATTGTAATGACATACAATGTTTATGAAGCTATAGAACTGAAACACATTTGTTTTCATTTGTTTATTCAAAATGCCGGGCAATTTTGTTATACGACTTCAAGTAAGAGGTGTTCAGTAGTTGAGATGGACTTCTACAGAGAATGCAAACTCCCCATTACATGGGGAGGCAACTGCTATTTAAATATACTGGCACATCTCATCTTTTTTTGTGATTTTTTTATATTACCCTTGGTCTCCCAACACTCTT